CTAAGATTGTCCTCGCTTTTTGCTCGCCCATCTTAGGGATAGGGATACGTTCGAGGCTGGTTATTCCAGAAACGATGCCCGGGCGAGTTGCCTTGAGTAGGGACATGTGGGGACCAGTAGTTCTGTAGCCCCTTTGGCTCAAGACATTTTGGTTCCATCATTTTTCTCACTGCTGTGATTCAAATGTTCTTACCAAGTCGGAGCCTATAGCTAAGCATTCGAGCTCCCACGGGATGCATTCCCTCTGATGCGACACAGGTAGCGTTTCGTCGCGTTTGGCCCTGGTGTACACCAACAGCGGTTGCGCAAGGCTTATTTGTTTTCGTTTTTTTTGTTTTTCTTCTGGCGGTGAGCGAGTGGGGGACGTGAGAAGGAGAAGGCCTTCTCAGAAGGTGGCGGGGCTTCTCAGAAGCCCTCCAGCCTTCTGAGAGGTTGTCTGTGTCTTCGGGGAATGCTTAGAAAACTTGTCAGAAGGCCATGGGACGTCCGAGCCTTTCTGAGAAGGCCCGCACCTTCGAATTTCCCCTCGGGCTCGCCGCCGATAATTGCAGGTCTTCCCTCGTGGCACGAACGGACATGCCGCCATATATTCGCATCCGTGTAGGGGCGTTCCCGCCTATCGTTGCTGTGCACCGGGGAGTGCGCCCTCACCTCATCGAGAGCAAGAGAACCCTGAACCCCAGCAGTACGATGAAGACGTGGCCCAACGTAGGCCCCCGTCTTCGCATTAGGGATGATAATTCTGGGCGGTTTGGTTTGATTCTAGTGGCCTACGCCATTCCGCCGACCCCCACAAGGCGTGAGTGTTTGAGATGATCGTGGATGTTGTATCTTGGGTCAGGAGCCTCTTGGATGACTCTGAGGGTCTCTTGGGATGCCTCTCTGGGACGGTTTGGTCGGGCACCTCTGCAGACAGGGCCCCCCCTCTGCCCTGATGTGTCTGGCCCTCCTGCCCTGGGCCCCCTCCCGGAGGATCGGGGGTCCTCCAGTTGCTGATCATCTCCCTCTTCTCTCAGGTAGGAGGTGGGAGGAGGAGGGGGAGGGGGAGGAGGAGGAGGAGGAGGAGGAGTAGGAGTAGGAGGAGGAGGAGGAGGAGGAGGAGGAGGAGGAGAGGAGGAGGGGAGGAGGGGGGGATGAGGAGCAGGAGGAGGGGTAGGAGGAGGTGGGAGCGAGGAGGAGGAGGAGGAGTAGGAGGAGCAGGGCGAGAGGAGGAGGAGGAGGAGGAGGAGGAGGAGGAGGAGGAGGAGGAGGAGGAGGAGGTGGAGAGGAGGAGGGGAGGAGGAGAGGAGGAGGAGGAGGAGGAGCAGGAGGACGAGCCCCTGCCGCTCCCTCCCTCCGCGACAGCCGCCGCGGCGGCGCGGCGCCGCCGGCCCACAGGGGCTCCTCGCGGCGCTCTCTGGGCAGGGGCCCCCGGCTCTGCGACGCCCCTGTGTCGCCCCTCCTCCTCTCCTCTCTTATTTTTTTTTTTTGTTTCTCCTTTTTTTCCTTTTTTTTCCTCCTCTCCTCCTCCTCCTCCGCCCGCCGCCGCGCCGCCCGCCTTCTTGCCGCCGCCGCCGCCGCGGCGCCATCGCCGCCGCCGCTGAGCGCCGCTGCGCCGCCGGCGCGGCAGCCCACTGCGCGCCAGCCTGCGCGGTCGGCGCGCTCCCTCGCCGCCCCCCTTCCCCCTCGACGCCCATCGAGCTGTAAAGGGGTCGGGGCCCGAGGCAAACGCGGGTCAGCCAGAGCGCCGGACTGTGCAGGATCCCGCAGGCTCCTGGCAGGACTCGGCAGGTTCTTCGCAGTGTTCGGCCTCTGGGGGACCTCGCCCGGCTCCGGGGCCGTCAAAAAACGACTCAGGATGGAAAATCGGTCCTGGGGAATGGGTCGGGACTTCCGGGGATTTCGCATGGAAAAATTCACGACATCGGATCTCTGGGATGGTCGGGGACCAGTGCCAACGCGGGTCAGACAGAGTGCCGGACTTTGCAGGATCCTGCAGGGCCAGGGGTGCACTGACCCGGGCTCGCGCGCAGGATCTGGCAGGGTCTTACAGGATTTGGCAGGATCCTGCAAAGCCTGACCGGCCCGGCAGTGCATCGACCCGGGCCAGTCGATCCCCGATCCACAGCATGCGCCTGGACGAGACCGCGGCGCTCTGCGGCTCGGGTCCTGCTCCCCAGTGGTCTGGAGCCGCTGCCTCCTCGCAGCAGAGCGCCGAGGTGCGCTGCGGCAGGGCCCCGGGGCCCTGGTTTGGTGCTGCCCTGGTGCGGTGCCTGTGCGCACGAGGCTCTTGCAGAGCTCCGCCGCCGCTGACACGCCAGACCCCTCGATGACTGCCGCCAGCGGTCCTGTCCTTGGCCACAGCACTCTGCCTGCCGCCCAGCGGGTGACGGCCTGCTTCCCCCCGAGTCACGGTGCCGCCCCCTTTCGTGGAGTCGGGCGCGTCCCTCTGCGGGAGGAATTTTAAGAGATGGTCGACAAACATTACGGGGACGATTTTTGGACTACTTTTCATAATTTTTGAGCATTTTCGGATTGTTGATCTTTCGGCCCAAACCCGCCTGCAGGAGGACACGCCCGACCTAAGACTGACCGCGCCACGTTTCGGTACACAGCCGGGGCCCTGAAGAAGGAACCCTTTTCGTTGGGGAGGGGCTCGGTGTTCCTTGTTTGTTCGACAGTCTGCCTTCTGCTTTCCTGAGGCTTTCCACGGGAAGTCGAAGTTCAACTTGTGGGAGAAAGGGGCCCCGTTCCTTATTTAGGGTTCTTGTCTTCAGTGTTGGTCAACGCCCCGACTGTATTGGTCGGCCGGCCCTTAAGTCACCCTGGGGATCCACTTCCACCGCACACCGTGGACGATCGAGCCGTCAACCGAAATTTCGGACCCTAAGTCGTCAAAAACAAAGGGTTCGATCTCGCCTCCTTTGTCAAGGTACTCCAGAATCTCGCGTTGGGGAGGGAAGTTACTCACAGGGGGAACCTCCACCCAAAGGTCAACGCCCCGACTGTATTGGTCTCCGGTGCCCGAGGCCGCCGGCGCACCCTCCGTGGCGAAGGTTCCATTCTCGTCGCCCGAGGCCTCCTCCCGGCGTGCCTCCTCCGCGGCCGCCTCCTCGTCCCCCAGTCGTAGGCGTGAGTCGGGCGTGTCCCTCTACGGGAGGGATCTGCACAAATAGTCCGGGAGCGGAAAAGAGGGGGGTGATGACTAGGGGGGGGGGTGGATTTCATGGCGCGGGCCATGATTTTTCCTCAGATTTCATGGCGCCTCTTCTTATTTCATTACGTCCCTGGCCCCCCCGCTGGGCCGCGTACGTGCCGCCGGTCATGATTTGCACCCCCCCCTCTTGGACACCCCCCTCTTGGCCGCTCCCGAATAGTTGAAAAACAATGTGGGGCAGATTTTTCTAGTATTTTTGCTTATCTATGGGCACGTTTTGGCTAGTTTTATTTTATGTTTCCTCCGAAATCCGCCTGCAGGGGGACCTGCCCGATTCAACCCCAGATCTGGCGCGTCCCGCGGGCTACTTGAATGCGGTGGCATCCGCTTTCGCTGCTGGCCAAAGCAAGGTGCAAGAACTTCCCTGTCGTGCCGATTTGGAGTCGGCAGTCTACATGCTTGCTTCAGCGTCGTACAATGGGTTGTTTCGCCAATTTAGCTCATTACGCACATAGCTGCCAACAGATGTTTGAAACCCAAAACGGTTCCACATTTGAGTAGAATAAGCATTCGCGAGTGTCAATGCAGAAACGCTTTCGAGCATCCAATGGAAGCGTTTGCGAGGGCCTGCGCACTCTGAGCTTCTAGCCGCAGTTTTTTTTTGCAACCTGAGCAAACGCGTGCCACAGACAACACACTTAACCAGTCATCCCGAGGGGGCGAACCTGGGCAGTGTGCTGAGATTCATGCGCAGTTCGGGATGACCACTTGCAGGGAGTATTACCTGACTGCGTTAACGACAGCCGTAACCGCAGAGGCGGAGTATTCCTCTGAATGGTTGGATTATCATTCGCTTGTTGCGTTTTACATTCGTCGTTTCGAACAAAGACTCCATGGGTCGCGTGGTACAGATAATGAGGTCACGTATTGATCAGGGGACTCTTGAACAACAGCCACGTTTAGTCGCACATTACTACATTATGGGAGATACTTCCCATCAAGTGTAGAAGCCGTCGAAAAGTTGCATGGGGAGACTTTCTCTCTGGTCCGCTTGGGTAGACGCTGGCGAACTCCGCTTCCCACCATCTTAGGCGGAACATCGGAGAGATGCATGAATGCCCTTCGTGGGAAAGCGGGCTGTGAGTCCACCAAAGGCTTTGCACAGCAAATGGCCCAGTTTCGGGGAGAGCAATTGGGACAGCAACGTCCAGCTCCAGGAACACCCGTAACAGCTACTGCTGCAAAGAGAACTTGAAGCACATCCCTGAGCGAAGCAATTGACGTTCGTCGATGCAGTCTGCTTGGATGCTGACTACAGCATCCGTTCTGTTCAAATGCGCGATCCGTGAAAGAAATCTGGCTGCAAGATCATCACTGCACATTTTGATCTCTGTCGGGGACTTTTCCATCTATTACGATCATCACACAGTTGAGTTTCGGTGCAGTCATATCGTCAACTAATGTATTTGGGCTTTCTATCCAAAATGAGCTTTTGGTGCTAAGTCTGCTTTTGTTTTCGAGGTCAGACTCAGGATCAGCACGGCTGAAACTATTGATGGGAGGAGCGCGTCTTCTTGTCATTGTGCATTTTCCCATTCTGACAGGGGCACAGGGCGACACGGACACGTCGGGCATACAGTATTATAGTACGATCAGTTCCGGGTCGTAGTCAAGCGAGACGTGGTTGCAGCACAACAAGATTGAATAGCGCTTTGCTGTGGGGCTCCCGTGGAGGACTCTCTTGGCCCATCGAGAGGGCAACACACAAACAATCGTGTAGGGACAAGCAGTGAAGCAAAGCGGGGGGGGTAGCTGTAAAACCGAAGCTCGGCATCAGCTTGAGCAGACCCAGGAGCCATTCTCCAATGCCTTCGCATGTCTTTCGGTATGAGAGCTCTTGGCAGCTTACCTGGGCCATCTTGCGGCTTTCTCGGGGCCATTGTTGGGGCTTTCGTGGCTCACTTGGGGCCCTCTTGGGGGCCCCGAGGGCCCTCTTGGGGCCTCGGCGCCCCCCCGGAAGTCACGGCGGCTGCCTCTTCAGGGTTCTGGGCCTCGAGGGGCCCATCGCAGGCCCAGCGCTGCCCCACGAAGCCCGCACGGGCCTCCGAAAGTTTGTGGTGCTGCTTCGTTCGTTCTTTTCTTGTTCTTCTTCTTCTTCTTCTAGTCGTGTCACGCTGTGGTGTCGCTCGGTGGCCGCGGTCGGGGTGTGACGACAGGGCATGCAGGTGCTGGCAGCGAGGAAAGAGAGCAGGCAGTCGGAGGGCATTGGGCATGCGACTGAGGCCGAGATGCAGCACCAGCTGGACCACCTGCACGACCATCTGCACAGCCACCGGCATGCGACGCTGGAGGGAGGCCCCGAGAAGGCGGGCATCTGTGTGGCAACTGTAGGGGGCCACATGCGAACCCTACCCCTACCCCTACCGTGTGACGGTGGGGTTCACTTCGCTCGGGAGCTCCCGAACGAAGTGAACCCCACCCTCCCCCTTAGTAATCGTGGGGGGTAGGGGTAGGGTTCGCATATGACCCCCTAAACTGGCGTCCCCCACCAGCTCGATCGAACTTGCTCCTGTGCGCTTCGGAGTTCAACCTCGAGGTGCGCAGCGTGCATCTTCAACTCTTGCAGCAGAGGCTGGATTCCGCTGTCCGAGCCTGTGAGTCTCCAACCCTAAGGATCCTGGCCACTGTGTGTTCATCCTGGGGCTTCGCGCAACGAGAAGCGCAATCCTTACCACCATCTTGTGACGACCCGAACCAGGAAAGAACGACGCACGCTGGTATCGCCAGACCTCCGCATGCTCCCCCTCCCCAGCCCCGCTCCCACTCTCCTCCCTCTCCGCCCCGCAGCTCCCCTCCTCCGTCCTCCCTCCTCCTCCTCCTCCTCCTCCTCCTCCTCCTCCTCCTCCTCCTCCTCCTCCCTCCAGCCGTTCTGGCTCTGTGGGCGGGGGGCCCCAGAGCTTCTGCAGGCGTACTTCAGAGCGGCGCGTCTGCGGAGAGCCATGGCCAGGCCGTGACCGCGGTCTGCGGCGAGTGTGGCGCGCCGCCGTGGCCTGCTGGGCAGATGGGCGGACCTGCCACCATCTTGCACGCGGGCGGTGCGGTGCTCGAGGTGCACTCCCTGCTCCTGGGGGAGAAGCTCATCATGGAGTTCCTCAAGGGCGCGTTCAGGGGTGCGCACGATGCCCCCGTGGTCGAGAGGGACCAGGCTGTGTCGGTGGCGCAGCAGCTCATCGGGGACTGCAAGTGCATCGATGAGGAGGCCAGCGAGTCCGTAGAGGCGCCGACGAAGGCGTTCGGTGACCAGGTCGCCCGCGTGCTCTACCCGAGCATGGACGCGCTGTCGTCGGAGCATGTCGGGATCACCGTCCACCTGCCGATGGGCGATGTCGTGGTCCAGGCTGTATGCGGGGAGCTCCCTGCAGTCCCTGTCTTCCCCGTGCTAGGCAAGTGCGGCCTGGCCGAGGACGATCGGGACGTCGAGGACCTTCCCGAGGAGGCGGTCGAGCTGGAGGCCGTGAAGGTCAAGGCGAAGACCGTGAAGGTGGCGATGGCGCGTCATGTCGATAGCATCGAGGTGCTGAACGCCTCTGCTGGGAAGGCCGAGAAGATCGTGAAGGTGCCGATGGAAGATCGCGTCGAAGACATCGTTCACGTGCCGGCGGGCGTGACCCAGGAGTCCGAAGAGACCGAGAAGATCGTGAAGGTGCCGATGGCAGAGCACGTCGAGAACATCGTTCACGTGCCGACGGGCGTGGCCCAGGAGGCCGAATAGGGCGTTCCGCGGTCCTGCACGGCGTCTTCAGCGGAGGCGTCGGCGGCGGGCGCCTTGAGAGCGCCGCGGCGGGCTCCGAGCAGGACGAAAACGTCCACGAGTACGAGAAGGAGGTGATGCATGAGCTGAACGAAATGATGAAGGTCGTGAGCCTCTCTGGCGGCGAGGAGCCGAGCGCGAGGTGGCCGCGGAGCTGGGAGGCCACGGTCGCGGCCAGCCAGCTGGCGCACGCGAAGGTTGCCGCTGCGGCGGAATGCCGCCGCGCCCAGTGGCGGCTCGAGCACGACGAGCTGGAGGACGCAGCGGTCTTCGGTACCGCGGTGCTGGCGGCCCCACGGGTGGCCACCCCCCAGTGCGAGACGATGGTGGAGGCAGAGGTGCTGACGGGGCTGGCCGAGGACGAGAGCCAAGAGGGCAATGTGATCTACGCAGACGCTCCAGGCGGCCTCTGCGACCAGATCGTGCAGGCCTGCGACTCCTTCGAGCCTGGCTCCGAGGAGCACGAGGCAGCGCTCGCGAGGGTGCTGGAGGGGTTCGGGCTCACAGTCGACGACTTCCGTTCCATGCTCACGGCACCCGTGGGCAAGAAGCG